GACAGCTGGAAGCCTATCCTCCGAACAATGAAACGAGTGATGGAGATTGCCAAGGGCCAACAGGGCCTCACGGTCACAGGAAAATCACAGATGATCCAGCAAGTCGCTGAACACACCAAACAACATTACTTGAGGGATGCCTCATTTCGGTTATGTTTCACAACTTACCACATCAGGACGTTGATGTGGACGTTGTTGTACGACCTCAGCGCCGGGTTCCATGTGTGGGAGGATGAAACTCAGGAACATAGGTTACACTTCTGTCTGGGCAAGTTCAAGAAAATGTTGACTGGCGAGATGACGGTGCCCCATTTCTTCCTGCCTAACGTCCGGAATATGATGAGCACGGTGCGTTGGAAGGACAGAGAGTTCATGTACATCTTGGTCAGATCCATGGAAATCCTGTTTTCTAGAGTCACCGACCAATATTCGTAAACATAAGTGAGTGAGTGAGTTCAGTTTTACCCGACTTTTAGCATCATTCCATCAATATCGTGACTGGGGACACCAGAAATGGGCTTCAGACATGCAGGGACTCGAACCCGGGTGTTCGGCGTGACAAGTTTAATCCGGAACTATATCCTGTGATCGTCAAGCACGCCTTGTGGCGTAGGAATATGTATCACTTCACTTCATGATGGCGGATTAAACTAGTAGTAAGGAAGTGAAGTGATACATATTCCTACGCTTCACGGCGTGCTTGACGAGGTACATTGATGTAACTATAGTATATTATATTATCACATCCCTCTCATTCAATTAACGATTAGAGTCCATGTAATTTATGAGAGAGAATGTTATAGTCTTTGCAGAGATGGGCGCTCAGGGTGATATTTGTTAAGTTGAGTAATCGTCATTTGAGAATTAACGTGAATCATTATTTGAGGATTAACTTGAATCCAGTATCAGATGAGTAGGACATTTCAGTCGTCATAGTGTTTCGGCGGCCTCACAATCCGGCCTGACCTGGTGCGGGTCACTTCTGGTGCTGGGACATCATGTTGGTGGAGTGGCTGCCTGTCGGTTGTTGGAGGACTGGCAGATTCGGCTGGTCTAACATAAGCTGGGGTATGTGCCTCTCGGAGGTGCAGCCTATTCCTCCGTAACAGTCTACCTTCTGGGGTGGACACCACGTATTATCGCGGCTCCTTAGATTTTTGCACCACGATGCCTGGTTTCCAGTTACCAGACAGCTGGTCCTGAATTCCGAATTGTACCAGGGGAAGTAACTTACTGCCAGCTTGTTGGTCATGGTAGTACGTCTGCTTCATTTGGCGAGTTTCTAGATGTTCTCCTAGTTTGTCTATGTTGTAATCTTCATTCCTTACTCTAACTGGTAGATTCGTTTTCATTCTCCGTGCATTGAGGAGTCCTGAGGGTGACGGAAAATGGTGATCGATCGGGGTTGTCCGTAGTACCAACAGTGCTTTGTCGTAGTCAACATGAGAAACTTTCGCCTTCTGTAATGTGTTCTTGACAGTTTGTATCTGTCTCTCTATAAACCCGTTGGGACGAGGGTAATGTGGGCTAGATGTTACATGCTCAAACTTCCATTCTTTGGCAAAGTTGGCAAAGTTGGCAGATGCGTAGTGTGGGCCGTCGTCACTTACTAGTTTTTCAGGGATGCCTTGTTCTGAAAATATGGCCTTCAGTGCCTTGATGACGGCATGACTTCCTCCAGTCTCAGTTATTTTCCGGACAATCGGGAACTTGGAATAATAGTCACACAGCATAAGGTATTCATCTCCTGAGAAGTAGAACAGATCCGTACCTAATCTCCCTTAAGGAGTATACCATCTTCTATCGTCAGTTCATGACGGAAAGACCAGTAGGGTCTCATTGGGACAGGCAGTGATTTCTAGCGTTCTGGCCATCCTTCCAGAATAATTTCTTTCAGGGCTTGTAGCTCAGCGTCACGTCGAGGTTCTTCTTTGAGGGATTTTAGTTTCTGTTCTGAAAACTGGACAATGTCTACACGAGTGTCCAAGTCTATGGTCACACTGTTTGGTGTAGGTGATCTCGAGAGGGCATCTGCCAGTTCCATGTCCTTACCAGGACGATACTTGATTTTCATGTCATATGGTTGAACTCTTAATAGCATGCGTTGGAGCCTCTGTGGAGCTGCTGATAGATTCTTGAGATAAATCATCTCAAGGGGTTTGTGGTCGGATTCAACAGTAAATTGCTTCCCATACAAGAAGGTATGGAATCTCTCATATCCGTACACCACTGCCAACATCTCACGTTCGATATTTGCATACCTCTGCTCAGTTCCACTGAGTGATTTGGAGGCAAATGCTACGGGTTTGTCTTTCTGAAGGAGAACAGCTCCGAGTCCTTTTGTAGATGCATCGAATCTCACAGCTGAATCGACTTGTGGGTTGAAATAGGTTAGAGTTACTTCGCTGCACACACTCTCCTTTATCTTGTCAAATGCAGCTTGGTGGGACTGATTCCATGTGAATTCTGTCTTTCTTGATGAGTTCTCTCAGAGGAGCTGAGTGTTCAGAGAGATTTGGGATGAATGGTCCCATGTAGGTTGCTGAGAAACTCTTGTACCTTCTTTGCATCACATGGTGGTGGAATGTCTCTGATGGCGTTTACCTTTTCAGGATCGGGACACATTCAGCGTCAAATACAAGTCCGAAGAACTTAATCTTGTCGCACTTGATTTCACATTTGTCTGGGTTGAACACGAGACCATGTTCTCTTGCTGATTTCATCAGTATGTTCATGTTTTTGTCATGCTCCTGTTCCGTCTTGCCGAATACTGCAACGTCATCGGCGATGCATATTGTACCTGGGCAGTTGGTGAGTATGTGGTCCATTCTTTCTTGGAACACATCTTGACTCAGACTGAGACCAAATGGCAGTCTGAGAAATCGGTAACGACCAAATGGGCTGTTAAAGGTAGTGAGCTTGCTTGACTCTTCATCTAGAGAGATAGACCAATAGCAATGTCGGGTGTCCAGCTGGGAGAAGACTCTGGCTCCAGAGAAACGGTGTGTGAATTCCTCCAATGTAGGGGTCTTGTAATGTGGTCGCTTTATGGCCTGGTTAAGATCTTTGGGATCTAAAGAAACTCGTAGTTGTCCACTGGCCTTGCGGCTGTAGGCAAGGCTCGAAACCCAATCTGTCGTTTCGTTAACCTTTGTGATAACTCCCATCTTCACCATCTCATCCATTTCAGCTTGAATTTCATCCTTGAGATGTATAGGGCATCGTCTTGGAGCATGGACTACAGGGGTGACTGTAGGATCAATGGTGATATGGAACTTGCCTTTAAAGTCTCCTATACCTTGGAAACGGTCTGGGTACATTCGTAACAGTCCATCTTTATCTGGTATTGAGTCCACAGGAGTCTGTTTAACTTCGCAGTGGAGGGTAACTTGGCTTAGTTTACGCGAGGTAGGAAGTCCGCAGATAATCGGGCCTTCTGAGTCAGCAACATAAAATACTGCTCCGCTATCCTTACCTTTGTAATGACAGGGTATGGTTATCTTGCCATACTGCGGTATCCTGGCACCATTATATGCACTCAGGATTGTTGTGGACGCTGTCGTCGCACCACAAATTGGAGTCCCTTGGGGTGATATCTTGTGAGGGTACATCAACTTGCAAACTCTGAGAGGGAATAGATTACCTTGAGCCCCTGTGTCGACCTTTGCCTTGAGATGAGCAGGGCTGTTATTATCTAAAGAGATATCGATAGTTGCGAATACTTCTTCTCCGTCGTCCTCAGTGCAATCTGATTTGATGACATCAGTGGTCTGGAAAGTAAGGGGCTCGAAGTGTTGTTCGATATCCTCAGGGTTTTCGCCTGTTGAAGAGTGGATATTCCTTTCTCGATGAGGCCTGGAACGACCTCTTACCCTCAAGTGACTTCGGCCTCTTCCATGGCCACGCTCACGTGCTCGTCCTCGATGGTTTGATGTGTTACTTCTACACATACTCCAGTGATTCAGCCCTCCACACCTCTCACAAAATGTCCCATGAGCAGGGCAGGGCTGTTCCCACACTGTTCACACGCAGGTACACGCGGGTGTTGTTCCTTTCTTATGGCATTTACACAGGACTCCTGAGCACCTTGTAGCTCGGCCATGTGTTTAATTGAAGCTTCCTGAACTCATGCTGAGTCCATTGCTTGTTCTAGAGTTAATTTGTCATCTTTGCCAAGCAACTCCTTTTGAAGTTCTGGCATCTTTGTTCCGAATATCAATTGTTCTATCAATCTCTCATTCATCTCATCTTGTTTGAATTTACACCTAAGCGCTTGAAGCCTTAATCTTGACATCATTTTGCTTGAATTTTTTAAGGTATAGGCGTTGCAATCTGTAATTCACGCTTGGTTTAATCTGTGATTCAAATTTGTCAAAAATATATTTGGAGTCTTTCTTTTGTGTCTCTGTCAACGTCCAAGAGTTGAATGCTTTTATTCCCTCGTCACCGGCGTTTGTCGTCTTTGATATTTGAAAAATAAAGTTCACATCTTTGGCGAAAAAATCGAAATGCCTCCGCTAAATCCGGGCTTGACCAGTAGTTATTATATCCATGCTTGTTTGCGTATGGAATGTTCAGATCCCGTAAGTGCTATTTTACCGTTTATCGAGTAGCGATAACAGGATGTTTATCCATGAGCGCGGTCATCTTATCACGTGGTCGCTATTAGTGAGCTCCTTGCAGCGACGACAGTTCTAAACATAGTAAAAGTTCAAATCTCTTGATAAAGTTCACAATTTTCTTATTCTCGGATGTTTCCTTATGTTCGAACGTACTTGATACCGACACTTTAGACCTTAACCGAGGTACAGGGTGACGAAATCAGTTCAAATCAATCAAATTCGAAGTCCGTTACTGACCACTCTGTCTGCAAGCACTAGCACCAGTCGGCTTACACTGCTCAAATCTTCGTTTCACTGACAAGGAAACCGTCGTCATGACACAAACCATAGTTCAAAAGTTCGAGTCGAGGTTCGTTTCTTACGCTGCCACCATGTTATTTTTCTGGATGCAGTTTCGACGTTCGTACTCGTGGTAAGGCAGGGACAACCAAAGCAGACGATACTACTAGTTTAATCCGCCATGATGAAGTGAAGTGATACATATTCCTACGCCACACGGCGTGCTTGACGATGATAGGATATAGTTCCTACTCGATGTACATTGATGTAACTATATTATATTATATTATCACATCTACCACAAAGCCCCGTAAACTGAACTGACCAGATGTCCTTTAAGTACTAGTTTAATAGACTCTCACCAAAGTGACATTTGTTGTGAAAATATCAACACGTTTGATAAAACGTGAGACCCTTTTATCACCCAAACTCTTGAACAGTGACGACAGAGATTTGATTGTAAAACGAAGAACTAACCAGTTTCTTTATGAAAAGTAGAATAGGCAATATATCCCATTTGAGACAGAGATTTGATTGTAAAAAGTAGAACTAACCAGTTTTTTTATGAAAAGTAGAATAGGCAATATATCCCATTTGAGACAGAGATTTGATTGTAAAAAGTAGAACTAACCAGTTTCTTTATGAAAAGTAGAATAGGCAATATATCCCATTTGAGACAGAGATTTGATTGTAAAAAGTAGAACTAACCAGTTTCTTTATGAAAAGTAGAATAGGCAATATATCCCATTTGAGACAGAGATTTGATTGTAAAAAGTAGAACTAACCAGTTTCTTTATGAAAAGTAGAATAGGCAATATATCCCATTTGAGACAGAGATTTGATTGTAAAAAGTAGAACTAACCAGTTTCTTTATGAAAAGTAGAATAGGCAATATATCCCATTTGAGACAGAGATTTGATTGTAAAAGTAGAACTAACCAGTTTCTTTATGAAAAGTAGAATAGGCAATATATCCCATTTGAGACAGAGATTTGATTGTAAAAAGTAGAACTAACCAGTTTCTTTATGAAAAGTAGAATAGGCAATATATCCCATTTGAGACAGAGATTTGATTGTAAAAGTAGAACTAACCAGTTTCTTTATGAAAAGTAGAATAGGCAATATATCCCATTTGAGACAGAGATTTGATTGTGAAAAGTAGAACTAACCAGTTTCTTTATGAAAAGTAGAATAGGCAATATATCCCATTTGAGACAGAGATTTGATTGTGAAAAGTAGAACTAACCAGTTTCTTTATGAAAAGTAGAATAGGCAATATATCTCCCATTTGAGACAGAGATTTGATTGTAAAAAGTAGAACTAACCAGTTTCTTTATGAAAAGTAGAATAGGCAATATATCCCATTTGAGACAGAGATTTGATTGTGAAAAGTAGAACTAACCAGTTTCTTTATGAAAAGTAGTAGAATAGGCAATATATCCCATTTGAGACAGAGATTTGATTGTGAAAAGTAGAACTAACCAGTTTCTTTAAAAAAAAGTAGAATAGGCAATATATCCCAACCAATATTCCCATTTGGAGACAGAGATTTGATTGTGAAAAAACTATTTAGAACTAACCAGTTTCTTTATGAAAAGTAGAATAGGCAATATATCCCATTTGAGACAGAGATTTGATTGTAAAAAGTAGAACTAACCAGTTTCTTTATGAAAAGTAGAATAGGCAATATATCCCATTTGAGACAGAGATTTGATTGTGAAAAGTAGAACTAACCAGTTTCTTTATGAAAAGTAGAATAGGCAATATATCCCATTTGAGACAGAGATTTGATTGTAAAAAGTAGAACTAACCAGTTTCTTTATGAAAAGTAGAATAGGCAATATATCCCATTTGAGACAGAGATTTGATTGTAAAAAAGTAGAACTAACCAGTTTCTTTATGAAAAGTAGAATAGGCAAATATATCCCATTTGAGACAGAGATTTGATTGTGAAAAGTAGAACTAACCAGTTTCTTTATGAAAAGTAGAATAGGCAATATATCCCATTTGAGACAGAGATTTGATTGTAAAAAGTAGAACTAACCAGTTTCTTTATGAAAAGTAGAATAGGCAATATATCCCATTTGAGACAGAGATTTGATTGTAAAAAGTAGAACTAACCAGTTTCTTTATGAAAAGTAGAATAGGCAATATATCCCATTTGAGACAGAGATTTGATTGTAAAAAGTAGAACTAACCAGTTTCTTTATGAAAAGTAGAATAGGCAATATATCCCATTTGAGACAGAGATTTGATTGTAAAAAGTAGAACTAACCAGTTTCTTTATGAAAAGTAGAATAGGCAATATATCCGATTTGCGACAGAGATTTGATTGTAAAAAGTAGAACTAACCAGTTTCTTTATGAAAAGTAGAATAGGCAATATATCCCATTTGAGACAGAGATTTGATTGTAAAAAGTAGAACTAAACAGTTTCTTTATGAAAAGTAGAATAGGCAATATATCCCATTTGAGACAGAGATTTGATTGTAAAAAGTAGAACTAACCAGTTTCTTTATGAAAAGTAGAATAGGCAATATATCCCATTTGAGACAGAGATTTGATTGTGAAAGTAGAACTAACCAGGTTTCTTTATGAAAAGTAGAATAGGCAATATATCCCATTTGAGACAGAGATTTGATTGTGAAAAGTAGAACTAACCAGTTTCTTTATGAAAAGTAGAATAGGCAATATATCCCATTTGAGACAGAGATTTGATTGTGAAAAGTAGAACTAACCAGTTTCTTTATGAAAAGGAAAAGCGGCAATATTTTCCATCTGAGACAGGAAATTGATGATCAAATCAAATTGGAAGGATGTATCACTGCCACCATATTACAGGTATTTTCACTGACAAAACTATTGTTTATATGACATCCACTCACTCACTCATTCACTCACTCCACACCAAAATAAAACACTGATGCTAAGATCAAATTGTAAGTTTTGGTAGATTGGGTCCTTGACAAGTTGGAAAGAAATTGCCCAGAATTGTAATTCATAATGGAAATAAATGAATATTCGCCTTGTTTTCTTTGTGCAATAATTCTATCGAATGGATGAGCAGATGTCGGATTAAACACAGATGAAGTCAGGGAATTAGGGTTGAATGTCGTGTTCAAAGTTTTACACGGATACAGTGATGTACGTTGCGTCCACGACGTGTGGCAAGGACAGCTGACTACTGGATTTGTTGGTGGTTGGTGTTTAACGCCGCACTCAGCAGTATTCCAGATATGGACCAGGCACTCCAGTGATCAAAAGCATGAGCATCGATCTACGCAAATGGGATACGATGACATGAATCTAACCAGAATTCTAACCCAGAACTTCACGGGTTTGTTGCACAGATAAAATACGAAACAGAAGGGTCAGTTCCTCCTCAAGTTCAGGAGGTTAGTGAACGGAAAGTGGCAATGTGACCGTTGATGAACGATATGAGATCATCTAGATACCTAATGCCCATGTTGTTGGTCTTGTTGTCATGTTGTCAGTCCCAACTTAATTTCCATACACATGCATTATAAACGTGTCAGTCCCAGAGGACAGCTGATGGAACATGCCGACATGCCTAAATGTTTATACATTTCTAACATTTCACGTTTTGTCTTCTAAAAAGACTTCAGCTGACACTTACTTCCATTCCAGACAAAATCCTAAAGATGGCAGTATAAATGTAACTTAAATATACATTTAACAATAACCATCCTCCCTCAATATGCAAAACATGTTCCAGGGAATGAAGTGTTTTCTCACGTTCGACGAAAGTGTATAGTGGGGTACAAAGTTGCAAAAAGTATGGACCTGTACGCGTCTCTTTGCACGATTTGTATGCAGAACTAAAGCGGAAACCTTCTGATTTTAGAGGCAGGCCAAGGACAGATAATTTTGACAAATTTCTTCCCATTTTGGCGATATTACATCATGTTTGATAAATGCTGTTTGTTAAAGTATTATCAGCGTTGAACTTAAAGTTCCATTTTGGAATTATCTCATACACACACCTATGGGCTTCACACATTGTACCGATGTGGGAAATCGAACCCGGTCTTCGGCGTGACGAGCGAACCCTTTAATCACTAGCCTACCCCACCGCATCCAACGAAATATAAGCCAGAAGTGTAACATACACAAGTTCCTAAGTTCTCTCTCACTGCTACAATGGTCCTACTCTTCCAGGAACCTCTTGGGGAGTTTTAAAGTACACTTAGTGTCCCGCTCCACCTTAACGTCTTTTAAACAAAATGTGGTCGGACTGTGATCGGACTTTCTGATTTCCGAATGATGCTTGTCTCTACCATCTCAGCGACAACTGCTTCCATGTGTCAAGAATGTCCTTGCATGAGATGCCCTCAGTGGGAAATGGTTGTATACCCGCCTCCCTTGCGTCTGTGCGTTCTGCATCTGCATCACTATAGCAACTGTGGTAGTTCCATACTGTTTCTAACATTCTGAGATGCTTCGGTACAAGATCGAACATGCCTGAACTTTATCATCCAAATATACTATTATTATAACTTCTTTGAATGGCATTTTAGAGGTTGATAGAAGTACAACATTGGCAAACTCTATGGATAAAAACTTGTTTTATTTCAGTAAAATACTTTAGTTCAGTTTCTTAATATAATTATTTTAAGCACTGTTGTTTGGAGAGTTTTTAAAATCTTTAGATGCATACAGGAAGATAGATGTATACACGAAGATAAATGTATACAGGAAGATAGATGTGTTGTTTGAGTGGCATTTTAGAAGTTGAGACGTACAATATATAACAAGTTTTATGGATAACAACTTCTTTATTTTCGTGAGTGCGACGTTTCGATACAGATTCTGGTACCGTTGTCAAGCAAGAGCAAGAGCTTGACAACGGTACAAGAATCTGTATCGAAACGTCGCACTCACGAAAATAAAGAAGTTGTTATCCATAAAACTTGTTATATATTGTAAGATAGATGTGTACAGTAAGATAGATGTGTACAGTAAGACAGTGTACAGGAAGATAGATGTGTACAAGAAGATAGATGTGTACAGGAAGATAGATGTATACAGGAAGATAGATGTATACAGGAAGATAGATATATATAGGAAGATAGATGTATACAGGAAGATAGATGTATACACGAAGATAAATGTATACAGGAAGATAGATGTGTACAGTAAGATAGATGTATACACGAAGATAAATGTATACAGGAAGATAGATGTGTACAGGAAGATAGATATATATAGGAAGATAGATGTATACAGGAAGATAGATGTGTACAGTAAGACAGTGTACAGGAAGATAGATGTGTACAGGAAGATAGATATATACAGGAAGATAGATGTATACAGGAAGATAGATGTGTACAGGAAGATAGATGTGTACAGGAAGATAGATGTATACAGGAAGATAGATGTATACAGGAAGATAAATGTATACAGGAAGATAGATGTGTACAGTAAGATAGATGTGTACAGGAAGATAAATGAATACAGAAAGATAGATGTGTACAGTAAGATAGATGTGTACAGGAAGATAGATGTATACAGGAAGATAGATGTATACAGGAAGATAGATGTGTACAGTAAGACAGTGTACAGGAAGATAGATGTGTACAGTAATATACAAATGTAGTCAGTAAAAGTGTAAAGCAAGATTCCTTTACCGCCAGAACGTTAGTGGTAAACGTTTTTATAAACGTCAGTCACGTCAGGGTTTCGTGAGAAGGGGAAGTGGGGTAGAATAGTGGTTAAAGCGTTCGCTCGTCACGCCCAAGACCCGGGTTCGAATTCCCAAAATAAATAAAATGCGTGAAGCCCATTCCTGGTTTCCCCCACCGTAATATTGCTGCAATATTGAAAAAAGTGTCGTAAAACCATACTCACACACTCCCTCCCCTCGAGGCTGACACCCCGTTAAACTACTTGAATACAGCTGGAGGCCGAAGCTGCTTTAGCCACAAGCAGACACCAGCAGCGACAACGCCTCAGTTGTTTACACAGTTACGATTTACACCATTAACTGCGTTAATCTAATATCTCTTGCGTTTACGTAACACTATAAGTGTCTATTTTAGCGAGAAATTCTAGGAAATGTACGTAAATGCAAATGTGGAATATTTGAACGTTGAAACGTCGGAAATACTTCAATATGTTGCCATGACCTTGCGTGTGTTGGGGGTGGGGGTGTAGGGGGATGGAGGGTGTGGTGTGTGTGTGTATGGGGGAATTCCGGTGTAGATCTCACGGTAAAGGCTCTCTACTTTGTTCTTCTCTTTTGTAAACACTGAACTGTTGAGATACTAATCACATGGTACATGCCAACATCAGCGTGTTTTCGGGAGATCGACAGAGCCTAATGCATAACCTGTATTGTAACAGGACACGGAGGAATGTGCTTCTATATATACCTCAACATAAAGATATGTACATTCGTATTTCACCGGCCTCTGAATATTTTTGCTATAAATGCTGTATTTCGCTGCTCCAAATTCTCAACCGTACATTAGTTACAATAGGACGGATTGGCTTTCATCTGACCAATGTATTTTTCTGCAAGTTCTGATTGTTGGGGAAGATCGTTGTACCCGGATCTTCTAAGGCCATTCTGGTCTTTTTTCGTCTCAATAGCGAACCTTTTTTCACGATCTGACGTCACCCTGGGTCGTCCAGAACGTGGCCAGTCCTTCACTTTATTTGTTTCCAAGTATTTTCTGACCAAACGACTGACAATTGTGCAGTGGACATTCATGTCCCAATCGGATGCCTTACCGGAGTTATGCATTCCAATACTTTGTCATCTCTGGCCAAGTGATAATCTCCTTCATACCATAGTGGCAGAAAAATAATTGAACATTGTAACCTATGCCGATTAAATACTGATATGTTGCACAGTCGGCACTTGTGGAATTTGCTTCTGGACAGGCCCCACGGGGTGTATTTGGGAAACTCTTTTCACCAAGTACGCTTGTAATAATTGTTAAATAAACATTGGTATCATACGTATCATCATACACTGCTGAACATATGTTCAATTGTTCTATGCTGAACCTATGTTCAATTGTTCTATGCTGAACTTATGTTCAATTGTTCTATGCTGAACTTATGTGCAACTGTACTCTGCTGAACTTATGCTCAACTGTACACTGCTGAACTTATGTTCAACTCTACACTGCTGAACTTATGTTCAATTCTTCTATGCTGAACTTATGTGCAACTGTACACTACTGAACTTATGTTCAACTGTACTCTGCTGAACTTATGTTCAACTGTACTCTGCTGAACTTATGTTCAACTGTACTCTGCTGAACTTATGTTCAACTGTACACTGCTGAACTTATGTTCAACTGTACACTGCTGAACTTATGTGCAACTGTACACTGCTGAACTTATGTTCAACTGTACTCTGCTGAACTTATGTTCAACTGTACTCTGCTGAACTTATGTTCAACTGTACTCTGCTGAACTTATGTTCAACTGTACTCTGCTGAACTTATGCTCAACAGTACACTGCATAACTTATGTTCAACCGTACACTGATCAACTTATGTTCAACTGTACACTGCTGAACTGTACACTGCTGAACTTATGTGCAACTGTACACTGCTGAATTTATGTTCAACTGTACTCTGCTGAACTTATGTTCAACTGTACACTGCTGAACTTATGTTCAACTCTACACTGCTGAACTT